ATTTGACTAATAATAAAACACCGTTACTTAAAACAAATATCCTAGTCATTGAGGTTAGAAATGTTTTGAATCAGCATGTATTTTCATGCTAAGAACTCTTTTTTATTCTCTCAGATCTATATCCTTAAAAAAACACTTCCAACTGCTGATAGTGGAATAATTAATCTTTTATGTCAACCACCAAAAGCCTTATTTTCCCCCTATGTATTTGGGGGGGAGGGGGTAATAGCTAAGATACATGTACTTTAGATTGTAGTTGAGGTCATGCGCATAAATCTTCTGTTTTAAGGAACCACTCTTACAGGCTTTATAATCTCCCATCACCTTTGGAAAGCCACGTAAGCTTCCCTAGACTGTCTAAGTCTTGAGGAGCCACAATGCCTAGAACACTAATAGGGGATTTATTTGTGACTCTGGAGGGCAAAGGATGGGAGGTGAGATTATCCTTGAGCCTCCTAGTTCCCCTGATACAGGATGATGAGTGCTTACTAGACTACTTTTTAGACCTTGTAAAGCAAAACATAAATGACATGGTGTTTCAGTAGGCCCTCCTACTAGGGCCACATTCGAGAATCAGGACAAAAGGGTAGTCTCCACATAGGGTCACAGAAGTACTTAGACACTGTACATGATGTGGGAGAGAAGGAGCAGCCGCTTTGCCAGCTTGTACAGTGGAAGAGGGGAAGATTAACTGCTGATTGATTGCAATATTATGGTCTTTCCTCTAGATATTTTTTATTTTGTTTAATACTGGCACAGAGGTGCCTCCTGCTTCTTGGTCAGCAGTGCTTCTAACATGCCATTTGTGTCCAGTATAATCAGAGACCAGGGCAAACCCCTGAACACCCCTTATCCTAGGAAAGTTTCTAACAATGCCTCTGCCAGGCAGTGTAACTTACAAAAATAAACAAACACAAAAACTCAATGTATTCCTCTTTAGTTAAAACCTCTGAAACAGAGATATGAAACAGGTATTCTCTTTAAATTTGATATAAAAGCAATCAATTTAATTCCATATTAAAAAATAAAACATTTTGTCTTTATTTTATTTTTTTAAAATATATATTTATTGATTTCAGAGAGAGGAAAAGTGAGGAAGAGAGAGAGATAGAAACATCAATGATGAGAGAGTCATTAATCAAACCCACAACCCAGGCATGTGCCCTGACCGGGAATCGAACCCCGATCGCCTGGATCCTAGGTCAACGCTCAACCGCTGAGCCACTCCTGGCCAAGCCATTTTGTCTTTAAATACGTAAAGGTAGGACCATACCTTAAATACTCCTAGAAAATTTATTTTTATATTAGTAGGAAATCATTTTTGAAGGGAAATTAATTTATAACATGACTCTTTTAATAGCAACACTTAACAATTTTATCACTATGGCAGGACACTTTAGAATCAAGACCAAACTACAGAATTGGAAAGTCTTATTTGTATCAGGTATCTAGTGCCAAATGAAATACATAGAACATCGAGGGGGGTAAAATTCATAACTCTACTGCATGTTTTAATTCAGATAATAAAAAACTGAAAGTTAAAATGATTCCAACATTTTGTAATTAAGACAGGAACTTTAGAGAAATGAGTTGTTGGAAAGAAAATACAACTATAATTTTTTATACTCTCTATAATATTGGCACTTCTTTTTCAACTGACAGGACATGTAGAATAAGCCAGTCTTCCACAAATAGAAGTATAAGTCAAACTGAAATTGTGTATCGAGTCCTCAACTACTAGCGTGCCAATCGGAAAACAGTGGGACAATACGTTTTCCTACTTCCAGAAGGGTAAGTTACTGAGAACTTTGGGTAATGAAGCTCCAAAAGCCAAAGACACACACACACAAAAAAGCACAAAATGCTGAAATGTCCCAGAATCCCCACCCCAGAAGATGGCCAGAAGGTCTATTTTTTCTGATTCTGCTTTTGTATTATTTCTCTGAGGCCCTGTATTAACTTTCACTAGTTTATGCAATGGTAGCAAATGATCCAGTCTCGGTGGTTTGATACAAGAAAGTTTATTTCACCCTAGCCATTTGGCTCAGTGGTTGGGGCATTGGCCCATGGACTGAAGGGTCCCAGGTTCGATTCCAGCCAGGGGCTGTACCTCGGTTGCAGGCTTGACTCCAGTGGGGGCTCGAGCGGGAGGCAACCACTTGATTGTCTCACATCCATGTTTCTCTCTCTCCTTCTCTCCCTTCCATTCTCTCTGAAAAAAATAAGTTAAAGTGTGACCAGCTCAGGCTTTCCTTCATTATGACAAAGGGAAGAACTGAAGTTGAGTGTTTAGGTCTTAGGCATTCTCCCTACATAGAAAAAAATTCGCCGTCGTCAGGGTGCAGAGTTACAAATACGTTCCAGCAGGAGTGGGTCAGCTCTCCTTGGCCCAATGCCATGCCATCTCCACTTATTTTTATTATGAAGGTAAATATAATCATGACAAAAATTCCAAAAGGCATTGAAACAACCCAGTGAATTAAAAGAGCCCCACTGCATCCATTAGTCTGTCTCCTTACAGATACTCGCTAGACAGCTTCTCAAATATCATCCTGGAAATTGTTCATAAATATACTCTGTGAGTTTCCTCATTCGAAAATTGAGAATAATATCATCTCAAATGATTCCTGTATCAAAGTCTTAAGAGATGTACAACATTTAGAAGAGTATGTTCCACATAGTAAATTGCACGTAAGCATCAGCTATTATTATTTCTGCCAAGTACTCTTGAGTGCTTTGCATGTTTTAGCCCACACGTGAGCATGCACACATACATACATACACCACACACACTGTACACACACACACACACACACACACACTCTCTCTACCACCACACATATACACTTTAATTATCACTTAACATTATTGTCTTGGAATAGCTTTTCATGTTAATTTAAATATATCCCACTCTTTTTCCTTTTTAAGTATATCTTTATTGGTTTCAGAGAGAGGAAGGGAGAGGGGGAGAGAGAAAGAGATAGAAACATCAGTGATGAGAGGGTCATCAATTGGCTGCCTCCTGCACTCCCCCTACTGGGGATCGAGCCTGAAACCCAGGCATGTGCCCTGACCGGGAATCGAACCTCGACCCCCTGGGTCATAGGTCGATGCTCAACTGTTGAGCCAAGCCAGCTGGGCCCACTCATTTTTGAAAGGCTATAAGGTATCTCATTGAATATATTTAACATGATTTATTTAGCCTAAAACCTTTCTGAGGACTTTCTTACTTTTTTGTTCTTACAAAGAACACAGACATGAACAGCGTACTTGTGCCATACTATAAATTACTAGAAATGGAATCATTAGGTCAAAGCTGTAGATCTGTAATTTTGAGTGATTTTGCCAAGTTGTCCCTGAGATAGTCATTGGGGTTTTTACCAATACCATGGTTCTGGTTGGAGTGCCCTTTCCTCCCTTGCTGAAAATAGGCATTGCTGTGTGATTTACTTTGGCCAAGAAAAATGTTATCAGAAATAATATATTTCACTACAGCCCACCCTCCTCAATCACAGTGGAAGACAATACTCCGAATAGTGGCTGCTCCCTCAGCTTGTTCCTTTCCTGTGGACAACACAAAGGAGAGCCACTCCCCTCCTGATGTGAAGACATGTAGTATAATCAAGAAATAAACCTTTCCAGTTTGAAATCCTGAAGAGTTTGGGATTGTTTGTTTTCACAAACAAGTTTGTCAAAATACCATTAACTATTACAATTAACTTGCTCTTCATAAAGAAATAACATATATACATATATACATATACATATACATATACATATACATATACATATACATATACATATATATATATACCCTTGAATTATTATTCAGAAATAATTATATTATACCCTGTTATCTGTTCTCCGACATTGGAGGAGATGCCTAGGTATTATATGGTACTGTATCTGACAAAGGCATGTTCCAAATAGGGATAGATTACAGTTACAATTATCAAACTATATTGGTTTCCGAATTCTCTGTGATTACTTAAATTTTAAAGAAACTAGGTCTCTTAATGAGCTATAAAGGGCAGTTTTAAGGCTGGTGTTTCATTTTTAGGATATTCACTGCATATCACAAAATTGAGACAAATTCTTGTCACTTAAATCTATGTAGTTACATAAAAAATCAACTATCAAGTTTTACTGGAATGCAATAATCTTCAATGGAACTGCAGCCTGGATTTCATTTTCTGAATATGTGGGTAAACATACCAATTCTTCTAGTCATGTCTATGTCATGCTGCATTTTGTCTATCTTTCCTAGACAAAAACTTATAAACCCAAAGATGATGCACCACATACAGCAGGCTGAACTGAGAGAAGACTTCTTGGAGAACTGCACTGTTTTCCTGTCTGAGCTGAACTGCCCCCATTCAAACAGTATTCCTGGTCTGAGTGGTGAAGACTTGAGTGCAAATATATTAGGTCCAGACCTACTCCCAATAGTAGCTGATTCTTCTTGGACAGGAGCCTATGCTTCATGCCTTAGGGGATATTTCTGATTTTCTTAAATCCCTGGGATTGTTTATCACCTCCATGAGTGCTTGGATAGCCACCTTCATACCTCCAGTGGTGGGCAGCTTGATCCTATTCATGATGCTTTCTGTTCCATATCTCCAACATAGGACAAGAGCCATGTTGACCTTCATGCATCTTTGGCATCATCACTAAACAAACACTGTTGTGCACTTCTAGGCTTATGGTTAAAATCTGCAAAACTGTAATTGTTCTGACATCTCACTTTCATTACAGCTGAGAGGGTAGAAGAAATACTCATTTTTTGGATGAATTTCTTGGACAAATAAGGATTCTCACCGGATATTGCCTTGAAGTCTGATGTAGGAAAATGTAATCTTCAGGCTGGGCTGAGACGGGAAGGGAGGTCTACCATAGGAGTCTCTGCAGTCCCACCATCTTATTCAGTTCCTCAGATTCCATGCTGGGAAATAAATGTTTATATTTTGGCCTTCCAGTGGTGATAGCCTCCCCATGAGAATATGCCTCTCAATAGGGATCTCCTTCATCTCTCTCCAGAAGAGAAGAGGAAACACAAGAAGTACCTGGTACAGAGCCCCAACTCTTACTTCATAGATGTGAAATGCCCAGGATGCTATAAAATCACCACCATCTTCATCCATGCACAAATGGTAGTTTTGTGTATTGGCTGTTCCACTGTGCTCTGTCAGCCTACAGGAGGAAAAGCAAGGCTTCGAGAAGGATGCTCCTTCAGAAAGAAGTGTTATCGGTGGAAGTAGAGTTCTTGAGGTGCCATGGGGAAAATAATTTCCCCCACTCACAGGAAAATGGGGTGTTGTGGAAAGTTTTATTGATGATGTAAAATTAAGGAGATTTCCTTCCAAGGTCCCATCTCTGTCCATCCTGCCATGGAATAAGTTGAACCTTGTCTTCAGCAGAGCTAGAATTAAGGCCACTGTTGAGAATTTATGGCTCATATTGAAGTCCAGTACAGTCCAGCATCTGGCTAGGTTAGCTGGTGTTCCCATCTGCAGTCCATTACATTTTGGATCTGAGAGCTGTGGGCCTTCCTGCTGCTTAAAGTCACATGTGGGCAAGGGCACAGGCAAGTGCAGGTCAAGGAGCAAGCCAGAAGAGAGAACAAGGGAAACAATAGAGGATTCTTTGTCTCTGGGATTTTACCCTTTCGAGATTTTGCACGCTTGCAGTGGCTAGTACCCTCCTAACCAATCCATGGCTCCTCAGGCTAGACTGAAAGGCAAGTACCTTGCCTACTTTGCCCCCTCTTCAATGCACATGCGCCCATCTTCCCCTTTGTTTCATCCCTTCCCCCAGTGATCTGCAGGGAATGGGCCAGTGGTTCTTTGGGGAGTATGAAGCTGTAGCTTCCTGGTGAAGCTGCCCAGGTGACCATGCTTATAATATTTGACTCCCCTTTCACTCTCTTCTTATATTAACATTAATAACTAGCTAATTATGGTAATAACAGAAGCAGCACTAAAAACACTATGAAACATGGTGGGGAACCATCTCAATAAACACATTGGATTTACACCCACTCGGATTAATCAGTTATCTGCTTCCTTCACTTTTATACTATCAAGTTACTACTAACAAAAAACAACAACAACAACAAAATCACACAGCCTCACAAATTCATTCAACTTTAAAACTCATTACCTGTAACTTAAAGGTGGAATTTCATCTCTGCCTAACAATCCTTCCAGATTTCTTAGTCAATTCTATTTTCTACTTTTCATAAACACTATTGAAAACTTTCTATGTTCTTAAAACTTCGATCTTATCACCTTTCTCAACATTATCAGAAAAGCTCCTCACAAATCATGGCAGACATTAGGAAGATTTTGGAAGTTCTGCCACACATGACATTAGAGCTCAAGTCATTTTTATTTTAATGTTACCATACAGAGGTGGGCAAAAGTAGTTTACAATTGTGAGTATAGAAAATTCAGAGTTTATTCTTGCATTATAATTTATTAATTATTGTATTATTTTCCATCTGAAAAACTGTAAACCTACTTTTGCCCACCCCTGTATAGAATGGCCTCAGTGGGACAGGACTCAGAGGCAGAGTAACAGCTAAAAACTGGGTACCACTGACATGTCAGGCAGATGCGTCCCTGTTTCATCATTGTTATCACTATAGAGAAGGTAGAAATGTATTTCTAACAATCATTGAAATAAGATCAACTATCTTAAAAACTTAAAAGAGGTGGTTATTAATCAATTGTTCAACAAATATTGAGTGCCTGCTATTATGTTTCACATGAAATTTCTCAGTGAAAAATGTTTTGTTTTCACTGCAGGAGGAAAAATAGAGTCCTCAAGTTTTATCATATAAGTCAAACATTTCCATCCAATATACTCTTTTTCTTCATAAATAAAACTCACAGAGTTAACACCTCTAAAGTGGACAGAAGCTATATTCCTCTTCTCTACATGGCTAGTTCTTAGAGAAAGTGTTTTCCCACAAAATTTCCCTTCTTTGGTTACTGTTTCATGTTTTACACTGGGGTGTATATGTGTGTGTGTATATATATGAACCATATGTATATATATAAAACTAGATGCTACTGTAGCCACAAAGGACAAGGTTGGAGACTACTGTCAAAGTTATATACAAGTGTATATGAATACAGGCATAACTCAGAGATATTCTGGGTTTGGTCCCAGACCACCATAATAAAGCAAACATCACAATAAAGCAAGTTACGATCTTTTTGCTGGTGGAGAGTCTTGCTTTCAGTTTATAAAAAAAGAGAAAAAGTGCAATAAAGCCAAGCACAATAAAATGAGGTATGCCTATATGGGTCTCTGAGATAGTGCTCATGAATGCTGCCCAATAGAGGTGCTCAGTATTGGGATGTCAAATCAATCCAATTGAATCCAGAGCTAAAATGGTGAATTACTCACTTCAGGGGGCTTCTTATCCAAAGGTTATAAGCAACTCTCCCAATATATTTATATATAGATGGTTGCACCACTAGGATCAATATGTGGTTGCTGAAGCAGATTTTTATTACTGCAAAAATTTCTACCATTAAAAGAAATTAATATGACTCTCTTTTGTAGAGTTTGAGAAAATTGACAAGAAGTTAGGTCAATTATTAACAAATTAATCATTCTTTAATTGGCCATATCATAGATAAATTTATTAGTTATTAATTTTATTATACAAAATATAAAATGAAGGCAATTTCTACTTCTCAGTGGCTCTATTACCTCATATTGAGTCAATCCCACCCATGTACCTTCTAACCAAAAAAATGTTAAATGAAAGAAATTTTATGTAGAATAAACACCTTGACAAAATTCAAGAAACTCAATAATCAAAGTTAGACTTGTTTACTCCCTTTTAGATTACAAAAATTAAATTAAAAAAATAACATATTTTTACACATTGTATTTGTTTAGATAACTTGGAACTCATGAGAAAAGTCACACTTGCTGAGCTAATCAGAAGGAAGTATATGATGAAAAGATGAAACTTTAGACCATGCTCGTCACTGAGACAAGACTTGCAGAGCTTGATAGGTGGGTGTCTTTTCCAACAACAGGCTGACTAGTGCTAATAATGAATGCAAGGTGGTAAAGCATCAGAAGCCACTCCACAGACATGTCCACAGGTATGGATCCAACCAGTTAGAGTTGTGCAGAGATGGAGGTAGGCAGGTTGGCAAGAGTTAAATTGAGTGCTGCTTATTGAAACAGACCATTGAAAGAATCATGAATAGGATACTAATATGTGCAGGGATAAGCGAGTTGTGTGATTAGAAAATAAGGGTACATTCTCCAAGGTATCAAGAAAGTTTTGTTGAGACCACAGCCATTCTTTTTAGAAGGAATAATAATTATTTTGCTGTGTTTCTTGAGAATACAGTAATTGTAACAATAGTGCCCAGTCAGGCGTGGCTCAGCGGTTGAGCATGGACCTAGGATCCAGGTGATCGGGGTTCGATTCCTGGTCAGGGCACATGCCCAGGTTGCAGGTTCGATCAATGACTCTCTCATCATTGATGTTTCTATCTCTCTCCCTCTCCTTTCCTCTCTCTGAAATCAATAAAGGCATAAAAAAAAAAAAAAAAAAGATTTACTGATAGTGAGATACAGTATAGTATGGTATATTACAAAAAAAGTAGTAATCCTTCTGTTTCTTTATTTACGTCCTTTACTTTGTGACTTTGCAGCTTCTCACATCAAGAGCTAGAGTACATTTTCCCTTTCTTAAATTTTGACTGACCCTGTAATTTGTTTGGTCAATAGAATGCAGCAGAAGTGAAGGTGTGTTAGTTCCATCTGAGGCCTCAAAGGCTTTGCTTGCCTGCCTCCCTTCTCTTAGAGCCCTGAGCTGTCCTCATGAGAACAAGCCCAGGCTATTCTGCTGTGTGATGAGAACACACATGGAACCAAAATGAGCAGCCCTAGCTGAGGCCATTCTAGACTTACCAGTTCCAGCTGACCTGGCAGCAGACTACAGACCCAAGCACAACTGAACCCATTAATTAATAACTAGCAGGATTATGAGCTTAAAAAATAAAATAAATGGTTATTGTTTAAGCCACCAAGTTTTGCAATATTTTTAACCCAACAAAAGCTAACTGATGCAGAAATAATTGGTTCCTAGAATTGAGGTGCTGCCATGACGAAAATCTAAAATAAGTGCCATTGGCAGTGAGCACTGAGCAGAGGCTGGAAAAATGGCAAACAAACTCTTAGCAAAAGCTGGGGAAAAAATAAACTGTTATTGGAGATTAGAAAAAAAATGGCGTTCTGTGTTTTTTAGAATAAAATAATTGGCAAAAGTGTTGCCTACAGGAACTTGAAAGATGGAAAATATATATAATTAACTTTTGATTTTGGCTAAAGAGATCTCCACAGAATGTTGAAATGTCAACTGGTTGGACATAGCTGCATATAGGTACAAGAAGAAAGAAATGGGCTAAATAAAGTACTGGCCAGTTTGCAAGGAGAAATTTGAGGGAATACAGAGGGGACAGAATTCTCTGGGATATAAAATAAAATTGTTTCTTATTTTTAGTCTTCCCGGCCAGTAAAAATTCTCAAAGTAAAATGAAGCCTGAGGAAAAAAGATCCATTGAAGAGTGTAGCTCCACAATCCCTTCTTAAGAAATCTGAAAGAATAAATATGTTGTAAAGTAGATTTTCTCATTAGAAAAAAATTGATCCTCAGGTTTGCAAGAAGCTTAATCCAAAAGTGACAGTCAATAAGGCTGTAGAGAGAGGGGTGTCTTGTAAATAAAAAATGGGTGTGGATTTTAAACAAAAGGAGTAGGCATAAATCAAGTTCATAGTAAGTCCACAATAATTTGGAGGAACCATTATATGTAAAATTGACATCAAGCTGAAATAAAAGAGATTGGTTTTACTCAAATTTTAAAAAGACCTCTAAGGAAAATGTCCTAGAGGGCAGAGCCAAAATCCAAAGGGTAGAGCCAAGAGCCATGAAGAACAAACTGGAAAACCACACCCCAAGAGCATGGCCTCACCTTATTCAAAGAATATTTACTACTCCAAGGTAAGGAAACCTGACAATATTTTCCCACCTGGATTTTAAAACTGCTAAGGACCAGTAACTCCTATGTGCCCCTCATTTATTTCTCTTTTAAAATGGTAGCATTAATTTAAAATGTCCTATCCCTGTATCAACAATGTATGTGGGATATTTGTAGGACAGATAATGTTTCATTTCATGAGCCTCTGGACCATAGATATCCACATATGCAGACTGGTGCAGCCA